CCATTGATGGCAAAGTTACCATCAATGGTAAGTTTTATGCAACAGGCCCTGTTGTTTATTTTCAGTTTTTTGTTTTTCTGTTGCTAACCTTTGTTCCTTTCCTCCTATCGTTCAGGAATATTTGATATTGGTGTTGCAACCCTCAGAAGAGGTACAGTTATTTAAACAAAATTAGATAAATTATTCAAGATCATGAATTGCAATATATGTTGGAATGCTCATATACAAAGGATTAATTAATATCAGAAAGCTAGTTTATTGACATTCACTTTATATGCATTTGTACTTAGACATAGAGATGACATAAACACTCCATTTAATATCAAGCATCCATGCTTATGCTTTGTTAAGTCTTAGCTCTAATACACTAAACTAGCACGGCACTGTAAGTAACACAATTCAGTATACCTGGAAAGCAGCACTAAACCTGTAGAATTGATTACTCTTATATTTGTAGTTTACTGCTTATGACTATTGGCTCTTGCACTACATAACTTGTAAAAGTCCTGCGCAAAGTTCATATCAATTTTGTTCAAAATATTTTGGGCGTAAAATACATGTGAAGCAAGAGAAAAATTGGGGATTACAGCATGTTTGTTTTAATCCAGATTAAAATATGTTTAAGACCAAATTTTACATTTTATAATTAGTTTTGAACAGAAGAGCTTTTGATCTCCAAAATTACATAATTAATTGTACACCCAAGTTATTCTTTTAAGAGGCAAATGATTCATAAAGCAAACAACAGTGAAAACACTAAATATTTTATAAATACACTGCAAACATTCTCTTGTTAATGCCCTTTGAAAAAAGCCTTTTGTTTTTTAAAACCTATAGCCTTGCTTTCTTGTGCAACACTTTTCTTGCTTTTAATGGTGTAATTGCTTGAACTAACTTTCATCTAAAGCTTGAGAAAAGTCTAACACCTTTTGTTTCTTCTTCTGCATTCCTGTACCTGTATGCGATTTATCATGTTCCTTTGTTCCATGTTTCACCATCTGTTTTTATTCATGTTAATGTATTTTGGTTTCCATTTTTCATTCAAGTTCTTGTCCATACTTCCGTTTTCATTCATATTCACCATCCTGTTTTGTGCAAGTTCTCGTTCACACTTCTATTCAATTTGGAGTTCATACACCTGCTCACATTCCCACATATATCTTTTTGTATTATGTTAATGTTACTGTTCATGTTCATGTTCACAATTCTATTCAACTTCATGGTGTAATGGCCATTACCATCCATGCCAATGTGTATTTGCAAGTCTTTGTTCAGTCAGTTCCCATTCCCATTCACTCTTCTATTCAATTTCAAGTTCAAGGTAGTGTTTCATCTCATCCATTCCTCGAATTCATGTTTTTGTAAAGAATCCAACAATGTATTCATGCTTATCTTCAAAACGACTCTTCCCATTCCATTCACACGTCTATTCAAGCTTACATACAAGTTCACATTCAAGTTCTCGTTCAACTTTTAGTTCATTATCAAATTACGTTTCAGTTCATGTTCATGGTGATCTTCAAATGGCTTTCTCAATTCCATTCTCACTTCTATTCAAGTTCATGCTCAACTTCCAGTACATTATGAAGTTGCATTCTAGTACTTGTTCATGGTGCTCTTTGCATTCAATTCTGTCCCTGCTCATCATGACTTCAAAATAAAATATAAAAAAGGGTGTCACAAATGGCATTAATTATTCTACTTCTATGAATATTGGTGGGCGAAATAACACACTAAGGGAAAACATATAAATTACATAAAAAGCGAACTAATGAACTTACATTTCGTGCTGCAACACCAGAAATATACACACAGGGATCAATGTATTGGTTTGGAGTACATGCTTTTAACTGGTCTCATGTACATCTTCCATAGGCTATATTCATACCACTTTTTAATCAGGTTTAAGTTTAATCATGTTTGCTGTTGATACAAAGGGAGATCTTGCACCACGTTTCTCAACAGGTGGATATATCTAAGTTGCTCTGATAATCAAGATTACAATTCCCTATGTGCAGACACAGGGTTAAAATCAGACCTGATGAAATTAGGTTATGAAAGGTCTTTGGAGCTTGGACACACTTACATTCAAACGGTGTAGCATTGATTGCATATGTGTTTCCATTTGAATGTATCCATTTAAAACATTTAGATATTTCCATTTATTTGGAGACTAAGTATTCATAAAAAGAAAAGATCTATGGAATTCAATTTTTGCATTTTAGTGTGAGGAGAAAATGAAATAAATTTACTGATTACTTTCAAGTTTCAATACTTTTAATGATACAAGTGATATTCAAATATATGCATTTTAGAAAGGACTGTATTTCATAGTCATACTTGTTAATGGATTCACTAATTGTCAAGCCAATGCTACTGCCTGTATAAACATTTACTAATATTGTACTGATCTATACTTTCCTGATGGTAAATCTTCATGGACCTTTTCACTTTCAAAAATTGATCAAAAAAGATTTTAAATACCCATTTCCTTAGTTTGGAATAAATTCAATCAATCATTAATTGGACTGTTTCAATATATTTAATTTCATGTTTGATACTGACACTTTTTGAGATTCTTGAAATTGGTTTTTGTTTAATGTTTTTTCTTCAGACTTTGATTACTTGCATTCAATCTTGTCCAGTGTTTTGTATTTTGACCTTTTCCCAATTCAATATTGTCTTTTATCGCCCTTTTCTCATGATTGTATGCAATGTGTTTATTGTCATTATTTCATATTTTTGTATACACTCATGTATGCTTGCAAGATCTGCACTTCATAAATACACTTGTCTTGCATACCCAATGCACTGTTAGAGGAAACAGTCACACAGCTTAATATTGTCTGTTCAGAGTCAATGAGTTAACGCCCTTCTGGCTCCAAACAGACAATATTTTCGAATGAAATGCTTTGAATCACAGACTCAATGTTTTGCCATCGCCAAAATTGTAACCATCGTTTTAAATGTTTTGTTTGACCTACTTGGTATGCTTTTTGTATTGTCTTTGAAACCAAAACAAGAAAGGGTTTCAGAGTTTGATCTAAATGCAAAAGCTTTTGTGATTTGCAAATGATAAGCATCTATGCTGGAATGCTGGAATGGAAAAACAATTTGCTTCTGAAAGCATTTAAATGATCAGCCTGCCAAGAAAAATGCAAATTTATGTCATTAATACTGAAACAAGAACAACGATAACAAGAAAAATTAAAATCATGTTTTTAAAGCATTTTGATTTCAGTATCACAAAGGATTAATTTTGGAAATATGATATTGAGATGAAAGGAGTTAATCAACGTTTCAAATTTATTAGTTGAAACTAAAAAAGGATTTCATAAATGTCTGTGTGATTGTAGAGAACGTTAAACAGTACAGGTAGCATACAGTTTGTAGGCACAATTGTGTAATGATGAAATATCTTCATAAACAGTATGTTCTTTCATTGCCTTGTGTATGTTGTTTAAATTTCATTTGAAAGAAAGTCAATTTACGATAGGTTGGTGAAATTGCACCTGAATCTATTTTTCAAAAATAGTTACGGTCGTGCTAGTAGACACAAGGCATGAAATAACATGCTACCACAGTGTTGTATTTACCCTGTATAAATTACATGTATATTTTTAAGTACGGTTATTGTATTTTCATGTGTTTGGAGCCAGAAGGGTGTTAACTCATATACTTGAACATGGTGTTAACTCATATACTTGAACATGGTGTTAACTCATATACTTGAAAATGGTGTTAACTCATATAATTAAACTTGGTGTTAACTGATATACCTGAACATGGTGTTAACTCAAATACTTGAAAAAGGTGTTAACTCATGTACTTGAACATGGTGTTAACTCCCTTCGAGCTCCAAACAAATTTGTTATTACTTATGGTTTGTTTCTTTGATAACTTCCATTGTTTATCCAGGCTCCCATTGTTCAGCTAAACTGCCTGCCCTTCATCGTTTGCTTGCTTGCCTCTTTTCACTCTCAAATTGCCTGCTTGGTTTATTTAACACCCTTTTATATGGTTTAAGGGTAACCCAAGAATTGGCACCCTCCATCCCAGCGGTTCCATTTAATGGTGCTTTCCCCATATGGTGCACCAGGATGCACTTCCCTTTAAAATGGTGTTAAGGTAACCTAAGGAGTGGCACACTCTATCCCAGCAATTCCTTTAATGGTGCATTTCCCTGTAATATGGTGCACCAAGGGTTTCCTGGCACCTTGACCCCCTCTCTCTTTAAAATGGTGCAAGGTTTGTTCCTCAACTCCTCCCATGTTCCCTCTGCCTTTACTGTAAGAGTAATAATAGGACTGACACCCCTCTTTTCCAGCAGTTCCTTTAACGGTGCATTCCCCTGTAATATGATGCACCAGGGTGACCCTAATGGATGCATAAGCAATATGGTGCAAAGGTTTGCCAAACAATGGTACTTCTCCCTTGACCGCTCCCTCTGTAATATTGTGTGTACCTGTGGTTTCCGTAACGCTTCACTCTCCTGTAATGTGGTGTAACCCAAGTTATGGTACCCCTCTTTACCAGCGGTTACTTAAATGTGGCGCAAGGGGGTAACAAAAAATAGCAACTCCGCCCTACTCCCTTTGAATGAAGGCTTACCCAATAAATAGCTTCTCCTCCGTTTCATCTCCTGTAATATGGTTTACCAGTGGTTTCCTACAACGAATTATGCACCCCCACCTTACCTCAACCTACCCTCACCCACCTCAACCTACCCTCACCCACCTCAACCTACCCTCACCCACCTCAACACATCCTCACCCACCTCAACCTACCCTCACCCACCTCAACCTACCCTCACCCACCTCAACACACCCTCACCCACCTCAACCTACCCTCACCCACCTCAACCTACCCTCACCCACCTCAACCTACCCTCACCCACCTCAACCTACCCTCACCCACCTCAACCTACCCTCTCCCACCTCAACCTACCCTCACCCACCTCAACACACCCTCTCCCACCTCAACCTACCCTCACCCACCTCAACCTACCCTCACCCACCTCAACCTACCCTCACCCACCTCAACACATCCTCACCCACCTCAACACACCCTCACCCACCTCAACCTACCCTCACCCACCTCAACCTACCCTCACCCACCTCAACCTACCCTCACCCACCTCAACACATCCTC